CACACGTCGGCATGCAGTGAGCTGCCACTTCTCCAGTCGCACCCCGGAATACTAATGGGCTCTCTTTTTCTGACAGCACCAAGATGGCTGTTCTCTCAAAGGAGTACGGCTATGTCATCCTGACAGGGGCTGCCAGCTTCGTCTTGGTCACGCACCTCGCGGTGAAAGTGGCCAAGGCCCGCAAGAAGTACAATGTGGAGGTGAGTGCTCAGGCTGAGGGAATGGGAAGGTCGGAGGCGGTCTGCAGGGGATGTTGCAGACAAGCTAGGAGACACCTTGCTTATTTTTGGGTGACCTGCTGACACTTCCTGCCCCACCACACGGATGCAGAAGGAATGGAGCTGCCATTCTGGCTCTCCAGACTGGAGCAGATGGCACAACAGAGCTTGGGGTTTGGCAGATCAGGCGCTTGGCACCGAGCTGAGATGGCTGAAAGCACAAGGCTTTGAGCTCGGAAACAGTGATGAACAAGAAACAGCACAGCCCTTTTTCCTGCAAAGAAGGCCAAGGCAGCACTGGGGGCAAAGGGATCGTGGTGGAACAAAAGTGACAGGAGGGTTTCTCAAGCTCAGAGGGAGCACGTGAGCCCTATCACAAGAAGTATTTCAAAGTGACCTTTCCTTGGCATCCATCAAGGAGCCCACGAGCTGGGCAGGGCTGTGGGCTGGGTGGGGGCAGCTGGTCCTGTCCGTGCGTCAGGGCGATGGCATGCAGAGGCTGCTGTGTCACTTGGCTCCGAGTGCAAACGCTCCGCTCCTTCGCTCGGGGAAGTGGCAAGAAAGGGTGGGCGCAAGGACGGCCCCGGGCACGTGGTGCAGGCCCTGGGTGCCTGTTGGGGTGACCCCACTCCTGCTGCCTGAAGTCAGGATTATAGCAAAGCTGCCCAGTGCATATGGAGCACAGAGCACTGGGTTTCAGGCTGGGAGAAGCCTCTGCAGCCAAGCGACAGCTCTGGCTGGCTGCTCAGCTCTGCAGTGGTGAGGAAGGTGGTGCCCTCCCAGCCTGTTCCTGGGTGATGGGCTGCTGCTGGCTCCCCAGAGGAGACATGGGGGCATGTCCTCAGTAACGCTGCTTTGCTCTCCCCTCCAGAGGGATGAGATTTAAACAGGGAGGTCACCCAGTACCTGGCTATCTTCTCTTTGAAACAGGGCCACCTCCACGGTAGTCAGGTTGCTAAGGGAGTTGAGGAAGTGGCCTGAGGCAAGCAGCAAATTTCAACAAAGCAGCTGTGGGCTATGGGGCAGAAGACGGGGTCTAACTTGCCAATTCAAGTCAGTCTTGCAAGCACCCATGCAGCTCAGGGCTCCCTGGGGAGAGGTGCTGCAGGGCGCGCTCCTCGCTGCTGGAGAACAGGCTCCCGAGCCCAGACTGCGCTTGCTCACATTTTGCTGCTGGTTTATTTTTTTGGCAGTATCCAACCATGTACAGCACAGACCCTGAACACGGGCGTATATTCAACTGCATCCAGCGTGCACACCAGAACACGTGAGTACCATGTATGAAGGCAGACCTTGAAAATACACAGGGCTGTGGATCAGGGCCTACAGCTGGAGACTCGCTGCTGCCAAGTGCCTGGGTTCAGGCTCAGTGCCTGAGGAAAACACGTGGCCAGGTGATGCTTCATAGTAAGGCTGTGCTGCCTCCTTACCATGGCTTAAGCCATGAGATAGGGCTGTGAAGCAGCCTCCTCTTCCCCGGTGCCTGGCTCTTTGCCTCCATGGGTGGATCTTAAGACACTGGAAGTCTTGTTTCCAGAAGAGCCTCTCTAGGGGCTGCTGATCTGTGGTATTGCGCAGATCTCCCTGGGGAGAGGCTAACGTGGACCAGGCTGCAACGGCACATCAGAGGGGTGCCGAGAGGAACAACTCCTCCTGGGTTAGGTGGTGGTTAAGTACTATTTAGCAGTGGCTTAGGGCACAAAACGGAGAGAGTGGGTGAGCGGCCTTGCAGAGAGGCACAGGTAGGGGGGCGTCCCTAAACGTAAGCTCTATTTAGCAGTGGCGTAGGGCACAAAACGGAAAGAGGGGGTGAGCGGCCTTGCAGAGAGGCACAGGTAGGGGGGAGTCCCTAAAAGTCTGTGGACACTCAGATTCCCTCTTTTCTCCATCTGTGGCCACAGCATCACGCACAGCTCTCCTGAGCATGGAGATTCATAACAGTCAGGCACAACAGAGACCTTGGCAGGGGATGCCCGCGGCTTCTGCGTTTCTGGTTTCCTCTTTGTAAGCAACTTGAGCACAAACGCAACCTCCTCACTTTTATTTTCAGATTGGAAGTTTACCCTGCCTTCCTGTTCTTCTTAGGCACCGGTGGAGTCTACCACCCGGTAAGTGACACTACAGTGCAAGTCTGCGTGACTGAACTCTGCTCTTGCTCCCTGACTTGGGGAGGGTAGTAGGCCAAGCTAGCCCCTCTGGAGACAGCAGGCTGCTTCACTAGCTGTATCACACTTCACAGCTGTGCCCCTTCTGAAAATGTAGTGATAGAAGGTCTTGTGCAGGGGAATCACAAGTATTTAATAAACTCATTACTGCTGCTTCAGCTTTAGACCCCTTTCCTTCCCCTAAGGCTGCCTTGTTGGACAAACCGAAGCACCTGTAGCCTCCAGTCCGAGTGGGAAGGGTCCCTCCAACCCTGCCTGGTTCTTCCAAGCCCCACAGGGTCCTGCTGGGCTTACAGTAGCGCTACTCAGCAGCTGGTTGTGTGGAGGACAGGAACCCTCTCTCCCCCTTCTAAGCACACTTTCTTTATGTGATAAGAATAGATGGGGAACATGGTGATCTTCCCACTCACTTCCACCACCAAAGGAGGTGCATGAAGGATCAAAAAAAGCCTGGATTATTTTTAACTGAAAGATGTAGACAGCTCATGAGGAGGCAGGCATGTGGGAGAGGCCAAAACTAGTAGCTCTTTCTTTGCCACCAACAGACAAATCCGGTCATTCTTGAATATTCCTTTTCAGAGAGGGAAGGAAGCAGCATAGGTGAATCTGGCAATCTGGAGCCATATTGCAGCAAGCTCTAAATTAAGAGGCAAGGTGGAAGTTTGTAACACCTGCTGCTGAAACCCTGTACACCTGCTGGAGGCAGTGGACTGGGGCCTGGGGCAACAGCTGCCTCCAAGATCCTGGCACATGGTCTAGCTCGCTAATTGGACAGTGGTGAAATGAGATTCAGCACCTGCTGCCTGTATGACTTAACCATTTCTTGCTTGGGAAGAGCTGTGCTGCAAAACAGCAAGGCTCTGCAGCACATCACATGCTACCTCCCCATCGGCGTCATGAAAGTGACTCCTCCCATACAAAATGCACCCTAGCACGCTGCATCAGTCACCCACCTCCACCGGGCTGACTCCCAGTTGTTCTAGCTGGGTCAGGACCCGCGCTGGAGTTGGCGGTTGCTTCTCTGAAGCAGGGCTGCTGTAACAGCTAAGCACTTGCAAGTGGCAAGTCTCCAAAACGTTTAATGCTTCCGCTTTCTCTCTAGCGGGTTGCCACAGGACTTGGCATCACCTGGATCCTTGGAAGAATCCTCTATGCCTATGGCTACTACACAGGAGGTAGGTCTTTACCCTGCAGCACAGAAGGTGCTTGGAAACTCAGGTCTTCTACAGTGGCCTCAGGGCTCTTTCCTCCAGCTCACGTCAAGGAGGCAGCATAAAGCTTCCAGTCAGGGTGTGGAGAAAAGGGTGCAGGTCACGGGCTGTTAACTGCAGCACGCTTTTTCCTACTGATGGGAAGAGCACTGATCTAATAATAGCACAGACTGAGGGTAGGTACATGGCCTGAGCTGGTGCCTGCTGTTTTGCCTTGAGACTTATCTCTAGTTCCTGCTCCCTCTAATTTTCAGGATGGGCTAGTCTTTCAGTGATGGGCTGTTGAACTGACAAAACGTCTTTTTTTCCAGATCCAAAAAACCGGAGGAGAGGGGCCATTGGTTCAGCTGCACTCATTGGGCTGGTGGGCACAGGCGTGTATTCAGCTTGCCAGCACCTCGGCTGGATCTGCCAGGACTAACTGACCATCATGATGGCTGCCTGGGAAACGGAAGGGATTTTTGTTTTGTTTTCTTTTAGAACATTTCATTTCCCGCCTTTTTTTTCCTTTTCTCCTCATTCAATAAAATGAAGTTGTCAATTCTATATTTTCATTCTAAAGTTATAGAGGGTTTTCTTAAGATGTTTTGCAGAATGCTAGAACAACTCTGGTTTTGTAAGGACTCCAGAAATCTGCCTGTCAGGCAGAGACATCCTAGCTTTTATGATTTTAGTGACCAAAAAGCCATCTTGCAACCTGTTTAACCCATACAGCAACAGCCCTATTTCTGGACCCCTCAAATTCATGTAACTCTCCGATAAGATGTTCCAGACAGAATTAATATTTATTTGATTGCTAAAAAAAGATGTGGGCAAACATTTGAAGTTGTTGCTTCATCATGTTTATAAAGAACAGTAGGCCTAGAGGAAGGAGGTCAAATAGCTTTTGCTTAAGAGAGGCAGCACTCTATCCTATGCTGGAGCTTGCTACCACTCCAGTTGTGCTCCATACTCTGTGTGTGGAGACGATTCTCAAGCCATGCCTGTCCCAGGCAGCATCAGCTCAGCTCACCCTCCCCACAATATTTTGTCCCACCTTGGAAGTGAGGTACAGATAGAAAAAAACAAAACTTGTGTTTATAAGGGGGCTGAAGGGAATAAACAATCCTACCCTTAGGGCTTTTATGTAGTCAGAGACTAGACAGAGCCTATAGCTACAGGATATCAATGTGTCCAAGAGCTTATATGTGCATTGAGTAGGGTCATACCTGTTAAGAAGCCAAAACTGTAGCTGACTGAGGGGTGGAAGGTAATGGGGTTCAAGGCACACAGCAGGGGAAGCAGCCTGGGCTGGGCCTCTGCCACTGACAAGCCTCTGGTAACACCTACGCAGCTGTACGTGCTGCGGCTGAAAGCCATACTGCTACCTCCTGCTCCGAGGTTCCCATCTTCCACCAGACAGGATGGAGCAGGCCCACAGGCTGAGCCCTGCACATAGCAACCCTGCTCCTGCAGGTGGGAATGTAAATGCTGCTCCAGCTACGTTCCCTCCCCAGGCACTTACAATTTTAGAGCACTTTATTGCTGTGTAAATGATCCACATCTCTGGCTGACAGACAAGAACTGGCTGATGCTCCCTTGAGCAGGCCCCAGAGCCACTAAAACACAGATTCCACATCACCCATCTCCACGCAGACAGTCTTCAGCTGCGAGTAGTACTCGATGGCAGCCCGCCCGTTCTCTCTGCCAAATCCTGCAGGGACAAGCCAGAAGTGAGAACGCAGCTCCAGGCAGTGCCAGGTACCACTCATACCCCCTGTAACTGGTATATAGTCACACCAGGGAAGGTCAAAAAGAGCTCACCTGATGCCTTGTATCCTCCAAAAGGCAGCTCTACGGGGCTGATGTTGTAGTTGTTAATGAAGCACATCCCAGCCTTGAGAGCAGCCACTACCCTGTGAGCCTTCTGGATATCCCTGCAGGAAAAGGGCAATTCAGCCGGATCCCTTCCCATTCATCCCCTCCTCCCCTGCCAGCTGACATCTCACTAGAGAAAGGCCAGCAGGTCGCAGTGGTTCTTGGAGCCTGACCTGCCCTACTTTGTTTCTGCCTGCTCAAAGGATGTGGCACCTATTCCCAAGGACACTCAAAACTGCATTTGATTTGAGAGGGCAGGACAAGGACACCAGCAAAGCAGACTACGGCAAGCGGCCAACAGCCGTCTTTGTGCGCTTTCAGCAGCGTGGCAGGCTCCTGGTGCACATCTGGAGATGCAGGAAGGCAGGCAGCAGGCCAAGTGCAGGTTGGAAGGAGTCTGAAGGACAGCTGGGCCCACCTAACCCCTCAGGAAAAACTAGGAGGAGATGTGCTGTCGTGTAAAAAGTTCCCTTTTGGCAATCCCTTGCTCCAGCTTTTCTGGAAGAGGATATCCATGCCTATGCCAGGCACCGGAAGAGGAGCCTCAAGTTGCTGCAGTATTTCCCTTCGCCTCCCCTCCCTAGACCACTTCCACACCAGCCAGTCATACCTGGTGAAGACACCACCTGCCAGGCCAAATTTAGTGTTGTTGGCTCTCTCCACAACCTCCTCCTCTGTGTCAAACGGCAGAATGGACATGACAGGCCCGAAGATCTCTTCCTTAACACACGTCATGTCATCTGTGCAGTTCCCTGGAAGCATGGCAGAGCACATGTGCTTCAAGAGGAAGAGTTAGCAGAACAGCCTGTGCATTCAGCAACCCACACAGCCCTCGAGACAGCACTCAGCACTGCACAACTCCCACGGGTTGGCTAGCAGAGAAGCAAGTCCCATCCTGCATCTCAAGGCAGCAAAGGCACTAACTGTATGTGTCCTGTCAGATCCTCCAACAGCAGAGATTTCTCTGGATGCAGTTCCTAAGTGCCTCAGCTCTCTCTCGTACACCCATACCAGTCCCTGTCCACACTGCGGACATACACAGAGACAGGTTACGCTGAGCACAGCTTCCTCTAGAAGAAACTCAGCAACATCCATGTAGAAGACCGCAGTAGCATGAATAGGAAGGATCATACCTAACACGCAGGGTCGCATGTAGTAGCCGTTCTTCAGCTTTGGGTCATCTGGCACGTACAGGTCCCCACCACACAGCACCTCTGCCCCCTGAAAAAGAGCCAAGCAGGAGGTAGGCAGGCACATCCAGGAGCATCCTGCCCAGATGCCACAGCTCTGGCTGGCCAGTACTCCTTGCTGGGTTTACAGTCCTATCAGACAAACCGTGCCTGTGCCCTCCCGGGTGTCTCTCCAGGTCAGGACTGCTGACAGAGCATCACCGATAGATCAGGGTCAGGGGGTGAGACCCATCCTACAAGTCCAAACAACACTGGGTTGGGGTGCAAGTGCCACAGGACCCAGTGCAGGTCGGAGGGAAACAACTACAACTAGGAGCAGATCCTCAGCTGGCATCACATTGACTTCCACATCTTCGCATGGTGTGAACTCCCTCATTAGCGAGTCAATCAGTCCCTTCACACACTACCTGGCAAGAAACACCTACCTCCGTCAAATGCCCCGCTTCAGAGATGGGGATTTCTCCTCTCCTTCCCCATATCTCCTTCCACATCCATCTTCCTGTTTCCAAATCCTCATCTAATCCTCCTGGCTTTCACTCACAGTTCCCCTTCTCCAGCCCATCCCCAAATTGGCTACGCCTAGTCACATACCTAGTGCTGACATTTAAAACATCTTTACGCTTTACAATAAAACCTAGAGAACAAACAAAAAAGCCTGGGTAGATCTAATGGCTCTTATAGAGATTGTTTCCAGCAGCCTGTAAATTTGGCCTTTGATCCTTCGTAAAATCTTTCTGCAACCAACAAAACTGGAACCCAAATGAAGTAACAGACAAATGTGCAAGGTGTCAGCACAACTTATAACCAGCCCAAACGTTATGGATTATCCCATTTTACAGACTGCCATGCTAGGTATCTCACAACCTCTAAAACTTGGCAACATCAGGATATGAAAAGCCATGTCACCTTCAGTGATGATCCAGAGATGTGCACTGGGTCACTTTTAATCTAGTGGCCCAAGATACTTATCGAGTAATTCAACCACAACAAAAAACCAGCTTAACTGGGAAGGCATGGGGCAGGAAAACAGCTGCCAGTCTGTTTGTCTAACAAGAAAGAGACATTTCAGGGCAGCCACAAGGCAGCATCACAATCTCACCTGCTCCTTTGCCTGCTTGATAAAGCCCTGGACACGATCCAGGTGGGGCCGGTTGATGAGGGCTCCCATCCGCGTGTCTTCCAGAAGCGGATCTCCAATTTTAATTTTCTGGGTGCGTTTCACCACCTCCTTTGTGAAGACATCCAGTATCTTCCTCTCCACAAACACCCGCGTGCCGTTGCAGCACACCTGGGATACAGGACAGGCTGCTCAGAGTAAGACACAGCACTCCACAGTCTTTCCCTGCTTGGGTCCTGCTACGGAGGCTCTCAGAAAGGCTCTCCACAGCTGCTAAAACAGCTAACTTGTCCCTGGGGACAAAGACGACTAGATTACCCTGCTGCTCATGACTGCACTGAACAGTCCATGCTGGACATAGTGGTACTGATGCCACCAGGTGGCAAAAACGCATCAAGTCACCAGCAGGAGAGAACTTTAGCAGCCTTTTCAGTTCCCAGAGATGATCCAGGGAAGCCAATTTGTCAGCAGGATTACACAAAACCTGCAGCGTGTGGGAGATCCCAAACTTGGGGCAGACAGAGCCCCACAGGGCTGTCGCTCAGCACACCAGACTGGAACCTGCTGCCCCTCCAGAGGAAACCAGCACAGCTTCTTCTGACCTCTGTGTGTCAGACTGGAGCCCAGGGCACAGCTGCTCTGAGCTGGGTACTGGGTGCTAGAGAGGCTCCACTTCTGCGAAGGACAGGGCGTCAGCTAAAGCACGCTCCCCTGGGACACCCTGCACTGGTTTCTGCAAGGCCTGCTTCTGATCCCTTGTGACCCTGCAGAGGGAAATGGGCGGCAGGATGGGAGCTTCAGGGCATCCCTCACCATGCAAAGTCACGGGCTGGCTCTGCCACCCGGTTTTGAAATCATCCCACCACAGCAAGGAGGACCACTCCCACCCCACAGACACACACCTCGCCCTGCGTAAGGAAGTTGGCCATGAGGGCTCCATTCACAGCATTCTCCAAGGCACAGTCCGAAAAGATGATAAGGGGGGACTTGCCCCCCAGCTCCAGGGTGACTGGTTTGATCCCTTTAGCTGCCATCTCCATGATCTGATGGAAACAAGGACAGAAGAGACAAGTGACCCACTGGCAAAGGGGAGGCTGGTGGAGGGAGGTAAGAGACAGCCAAGGGGAAAGTTTCCCCCAGGGCCCTTCACCAACAACAGGTGCATTACAAAGGGCAAGCTGGGTTTCCTAGAGGTGTTTAGTTCAGACTGGGGACAGTCTCAGAGGGTTTGGGGTTTGTCTGTTTTAAAGATAAAAGCAAGAAAACCTGAGGAGTCATTTGCAGGAAGTCTCATGCTCAGCGTAAGCCCAGAGGACAGCTGTAACTGCATCTGTGTCACTGCACCCCACAGGTACACACACATAAGGAGAGTTCAAGGGGCAACATTTCCTCTCTTTCAAATCAGAATTTATTTTTAAGTCTTTTTAGGGATTTTTAATTTTTTGAAGAATAAATTGATGGCAAGAAATTCACAGAAACTAACCTCTTGCTTAAAAACTGTAGGTGGTACAGACCCCCTGTGTCCCTGAGTGAGAAGATGCCTTTACCTTGATGCCAGTTGGCACACTGCCAGTGAAAGAGATTTTGGCCACATCTGGGTGATGACAGAGGAACTGGCCTGTGGCCGCTCCACCCTGCACCACATTGAAGAGCCCTTTGGGCACACCGGCCTCTGTGAAGATCTCTGCCAACCTCACCACCGAAATGGGGGTGAAGGGAGAGGGCTTGAAGACCATCGCATTGCCTAGGGGAACCCAGACAGAGGCAAGGTGGAATTAACAGCCAAACTGCTTTAGGGAAAAGAACAACAAACAAACAAACCACCCCACACAATGAGTTTGTCTCAACAGATCCCAGAAGATCCCCCCAAGAGCGAAGGAAACAGTTTCAGCTGAGCAGTGCAACCAGTGAAAGGGAGGAACTGCACCTTCCTGCTGGGAAGGGCTGGGGGAGATGGGGCTGCTGGTCCTGCACTGCAGACATTTCCAGAGACCTTCCTCGTCTGGTGCAAAGCCAAGCAATCAGCTTTTTTCCTGATGCACTCCTGCCCTCTTAGCATCTGCCGTGTTCCCGCTTCCATTTCCTTTCACTTCCTGCCAGAGTAACAGCCTGAAAGCTTCTAATCTTTCAACACCTCCTTCAAGGTAATCCTAGACTTTATCCCCCAAATCGCTCTCCCCTACAACATCATTTGGCTTCAAAGAGAAGCTTGCACGGGCAGAATGTCTCCATTACCACACGCCAAGGCCGGGGCAGACTTCCAGCAGGCAATCTGGAAAGGGTAATTCCAGGCTCCGATGCCAACACACACCCCAAGGGGCTCTCTCCGAGTGTACCCAAAGGATCCCCCGGGAAGTTGGATGTGTTCACCTGCAAAGAAGAAAAACATCCAGAAGGTAGAGAAAAGCAAAGTCCCTTCATCTCTTATCAGAGCTTCTGAGGCCAGATCTTGCTTTGATTGGGAACAGAGACACACAGCTTTTACCCCAGCAAGCTCACAGAAGGTGTGTAAGTGCCCACAGAGCACAGCAGCATTAGGCAGAGATCTCTGAAAATCCTTCCAAGATCTTCAGAAAAAGTAGGTGTCCATCTCTTAAGAGAAATCAACAGCAAAGATGGTCTTGTGCCATAGAATTGACCAGGGAATGCAAGTGGCAGGACACAGAGTAAAGAGCAAACTCTGGTAACGTTCTCACCAGCTAGAGATCCTGCCAGTCCTGCGTAATACTCCAGGCACTGCCAGGATATGTCAATGTCTACTCTGGCTTCAAAGATGGATTTCCCATTGTTGATGGTTTCCAAGGTGGCAATTTCTTCTCTCTGCTCCTGTGAGAGGCACAGGACAGTGACAACATGTTAGAGAAGCCTGTAGTAGAACTCCACAAGGGGACAGCTGCTTCCCAAGCACACAAGTCCCAAACAAGGCTCTGCTATCAGTAAGCCAGGCTCTGCCATGAGAAATTGTCATCTCTAGAAGATACAGTGCCAACTGCTATTTATCCATTTCCCAGTGGTGACCGATTGCAGGGGAATGTCAAACAGGCAGCTGCTGGGGTTCACTGCTAGTCCAGTCTTGCTTAACATCCCTGTTTACCTAAAAGATGGACAAACTTGAACTGAGAAGCCGGCTGGTAAACAATGATTAGAATTCATAAAACTTAAACTGGGAGGAACAGCAAACAGCAAGATCAAAATGGAATGAGAGGACTTAGTGAAGAAGGACGGACAAAGTAACGCAGCTGAGAAGCGTCATTTAACAGACCGTCTCCCAGGCAAAAACATTACCCTGCTGTGGAATTCTGGCAGAAGCAGAAGTCTGGCAGAAAGAGAACAGTTTTCTCATCACATATACACACTGGGGAAAGAAGGTCTGGTTTCTTACAGATCTGTGCCTCAACGGGGATTAACTTCGATATCCAAGAACACGTTATCTCACAAAGAAGTTTGTGATAAAGCTAGCTTATTTGTATCCTCTCCCACGTGTATTATCTGGTGTCTAAGATAAAAACCAGCATTCCTACTTTTTTTAATTGCTAAAACAAGACACACTCCAGTCACGTGACAACAGTGTCCAACAAGCTGAAAATTCGCAATGTGACAGTTACACAATTTCAGCCTTGAAATCATGTGCAGTGAAGCTTAATCTTTGAAGTTGTGAAAAGAAGCATAAGCCCTGCAAGATCTCGACTGGATGGCTTCAGTTTTATGTCTTCTAAGAGAATTAAGCAGAGAAGGTACACACTGGCCTTGAATAGAGTGATAAGACTGAAGCCCCGCCCAAGGCAGCCTACCGTCTCTTCTGGTTAAAGGTGGGTTTTAACCCTGCATTCCTCCTGGAGCTCTGGAAGTCCTCCTGGAAGCCCCCAACAGCCACGTTAACCCACAAGAAAGCTCAGAGACAGAACCACCCCTCTCCAAAAGAGGAGGCAAGCTCCCACAACATACCCGAATAATTCTGGCGGCCTCCAGCAGCACCCTGCTCCGCTCCATGCCAGACAACTGACTCCATATTTTAAAGGCAGCCTTTGCACTCTGCACAGCCAGATCGACCTCCTTCTCCCCAGAGCAGAGCAGCTTGCCTATCACACGACCTGGGTACATTTTAAACAGGAAATAAATAAGACCGAAATCTCAGAAAAAGGGCACAAAAGAATATGGTTTATCTTGCATCAGACCCCAAAGATTTCAGGCCAGCCACCTATACCAAGCTACAGAACCTCACGCTATGGTTCCCACTGATTTGTAATTGGCTACAGAAGAGGTGCTGCAATTCAGCTGGTCTGAATTAAAGATCTGCCATTCTCCACAGTTGTGTTCTAGTTACTAATTAGCTCCAACTGTTACAAAATTCCTCCATTTCCCACTGGAGTTTGTTATACTTCTACCACCAGCTTCAGGACTCTGTTACACATTCCTCAGCATAGTTAAGTACTCTCTTTCTTGAAGCGATTCTGCTGAAACCTAGGGATCTCCAATTTAAAAAAGCATTCATTTTAGAAACGTTTAAATCACGTCCTTTGCCAAGATCAGGCACCACTCGACTTTTTTTGTTTGACTGAGAGTTAGAGCTGAGTTCTGCGAAGAAGTCTGATGATGGACCTGCACTGCAGGAGGCAAAACGCAGTCACCAAACCGAAGGCACCCGGCCCTTGCAGGCAAACGACAAGGAAGCAACTCCCGGGCCCGGGGCCTCAGTGCAGATTTAACGCCCCCCCCCCCCCACCACCCCACACCCCCCCCCCCCAAGCCGCCGCGCGGGG